AAATCCACAATCTACAATTTATTCAAACACTTTGCAAATTGCATGCTATTACAATCAGTATAAGAACCTGGTACCCCGCGATAAAGAGCGCTTTTATAGTAATCGCGAGGCGATAATCGTTGGCTAAGTTTTAATTTATTCTGCAAACTGTTTGCTGGCACGCACGGGGGTGATAGATGAGCTATAATCTACTGTAATCCAGAGCCGTATTATCTTTAAGGCAAACTAGACTAGTGCCTAGGTAGGGCGCCAGGTGACAGAAGGGTGCCGTAAAAGTGCGTACTTAACTGCCCATAGAATGGCGGCGGCACAAAAATACAATTTCTGGCGCCTATGAGGTGGTTACGGCGCTCTCTAGGTTTAAGCCTCTCTGTCAGAGGACCTGGTGTACCTTAAAGGTGCTGATGGTGGCCACCGGTTTGGTTTTAGTGAGGTATAAATCCCACACTCCATAATCTTTCTCCCTAAAACGCTTTCAAGGACTTTCAAGCCTTCAAGGATACATTTTTTTTAAGGGGGGAAAATCATCAAATGACTGCTCCCGCCTGGGTGAGGCGGGAGGGAGTGTTAGACTCTTACTGACTAAAAACCACCCCGTTCCTTCTCCTGCACGTCGAGCCGGAGCCCCGGTTACCCGTTAGGTCAAGGATACAATAGGTAACAAATATTCCACGGCATGTATCGGCCACATGGCAAGTGAAGCCTGTCGGTTTCGCCTGACATATTATAAGGCGACATTCATGCTGCCAGACATGCCAAAGCCCGGCAAAACGTCGCGCTACTCCACCCAACGTCCCAGGACATTTATATTCTTAGCTTTACCAACGAGTTGAAAAAAACGGTGCAAATCCATCTCTGCTGTAATCTGGAAATCTACTGAACTATACAAGTTTTGTGATTATCTGCAAATTGAACAGTATTGTTTTGTGGTGTTTACGTATGTGTAGGTGTTTTAGTTATGTCTAGGCTATTAGGGGGGTGTTTAAAGATAGATTTTCTGGTTTTATATGGCATAATGGTATAATATCACGTTTTTCATTCTGCTGACATAATCGACGTCTTATAGGACCGCCACGCGAGGCGACCAGCGAACCATTTTTTCTCACTCGAATAATGAAAGGCAACTCAATTTTAAGTAGTACTTAAATATCGTGCCATCTCTGCCAGTTTACAAAGAATTTGTAGTGACAGAACTATACTTAAGCGCGACTTAAAATTTAGTGACGTTTGTGTATTTCAGCATGTTTTGAAAATACCAATATCTGAACAAAATCTTAACAAATATTTTTTAAACTAACGGACGTGAGTGCTCTGTACCTCGCACTCGCATTTATACCCTATGAATCACATGAGAAAAATCTACGCTAAACCTTAATAAGGTAACATATGTTATGAGTTTTATTAAAACACAATAAAGTTCACTTTCGTTAAATAGCACTTTATTTCTATTTACACTTTAAAATAAAACAATGTATTATGTGCTGACAGACAAACAAATCGCGTTAACTAATGATACTTGTTTATTCACTTTTAAAATAAATACTAGATACTGTGCAGTTAAAGATAACATCTTTAAGAGTATTATAATTTTAAGACCGATTTATCCAACTCTAGTTTAATTTTATCGGAGGAATAACAGAATATTTATTAATTTTCTAAAAACTGTCAAATATCAATTTAATTCCCCAGTTAAGAATTATGTATTATTGAAAAATCGGCCCTTAGTTTATAACAGATAGATTCCCGTATTATACTATTTGTTAAAAAATAACATGACATCACATATCGACTACTACGCTCGACTAGATTCAAGTCATACCGGAAAGCAAACACAACATAAAAAAGTTCTGGTGTCACTTGAAACTATATAGTACAATTTTCTTCATTACTTCATGTAAGTCGGTCGCATATTTTCAATTCATTAATTCTTTCATTTATAGGTGACCAGTAGATGGTTAACAGGCAACTGTGCCCTTTTCCCGAAGCTTTCTGGCTCACACAGCAAAATTGTGGAATGATCTGTCGTTGGTGATATTTCCGAACCGATACTACCTTTAAACCTTCAATAAGATAGCGTATTCGGTTTTAAAAGGCCGGCAACACACCTGTGATTCCTCTCATGTTACAGATGTTCTTGAGGGCCCTACATTAGAAGTAAAGAATTATCTAGCAAGTATATATTATAAATACCTATTTAATGTATGTACATTCGACTAATGAAAGGTTTCGTATGTATAAGGCCACTGTACAATCATTGTTAAATATACAATAATAAAATGAATACTTATTTTTCATAACATTTATATTGATTCGATGCAAATTGGTGTTAAATTTTGTAGTATCATTAATAATATTTCTCTAATTGCACTATTACATTATGCATTAATGAATAAAAATATAAAAAATTGTATAACAATATTTATTTCCGTAAAAATATTTTGCTAGTACGGGAATTGCACTTTATACTCGGCGAAACTGTCTTCTTATTTAAATACTATAAGAAATAAACAAGTATCTTAGTTATTATAGTAAAACCATATTATGTCGTTATAGTGAGTAAACAAATATCAACCTTCACACTATACAATAGAGTACATTTTTACACATTGTGCCGAAAACCGGCTCTGAAATAGCGAATATTTAAGCGGAGAGAGCAAAACAGAACACAGGTATTCAATAATTTTACCATTTACACTAACAAATCAATAACATTTATTTTAAAATACACATAATTCTCATTATTAATTCGTACTATTATTTAAAAATATATTAACAATATTTCTATAATCGCTGTCTACAATTCCGCTTATATAATCGCCAGTTTCGGAGCCTCAATGTAGGTAAAATTATTATTTATCCATTGATGACTAACATTGCATGATGAATTTCATCTCTGAACATAAAACATATTGCTCTCTTGTTCTAACACACACTGTATAACAAGGACAGCGAAAAACCACGAAACTCATGCAAAAATAGACCTTATTTCAAAGACCTAGATCAAATTACTGCTTAATAACATTTGTGATTTACTTTAGACCAGTCTTTAATAGCACGAACCTGCTGCAGCAATTTGGTCCGTAAACGTATTCATTTAGATACAAAATTATATTGCACATAAAATTGACAATTATTTAAATCTATTTTTGCAAGTCCTTGAAGTGCGAAGAAGCCGGCAATATTCTGAACAATGTTTTGGTGTAAACATGTGAACCCAATTACAAAATACATATAGAATACAGTAATACCCATAGCAATTATAATAATCTAATTAGTTACAATAATTAAAAACACGGTAATTAATTTAATTATTTGTATACAATTTTATAATTTTAACGATGAATTCATTGAATTACCATTACCATTATACAGGTACCCATGTCAAAGTTAACACATTCACTGCGGCAGCATTACATCTAAACTTTCTACTAGTGCGAAACGAGACAAATGCTGCCCGTATGTATGTTTCCTGATATGCGTTACGGCTTCTATTTTGCCGTACCAGACCCTGACTTTCAAAGCCTATACAGACGTGGAAGCCGCCTATATCAATGGTTTTTATTAACAAATCGATAGACTATATCCTTGTATGTACCTAGCTGCAGTGGCCCTGGGTTCTCTGTTATACTTTGAAGGATACAGCGATTTTTCAAAATCTCCAAAAAGCGCAAGGGAACTTAGATAAATCGCACCCGCACAGTACGCAAAACAAGGACAACGAGCTACCGCACTGGCTGAGAATCAAATACGGCCAAATACTTGCCGTAACGCAGTGAATGTGTTAAGTATCTTTTTGACTCAATAGATTATAGAACTATGTTAGAGACTCCACACTTATGATCACACCTTTCTCCAGACGATGAAATGAGCACCTAACACTTAGAAGACGAGATATTCATTTACTTAATTTATTTGGGGCATAATTAGTGAACAAGCCTTGTCTATAAAAAGGTAAGAGCAAAGTTCTGAATAAAAAGCAATAATCTGTAACTAACGCGATGGTGTAATTTTACAAAACTAATAGGTATTACTGTATCCAAATACACACTTTTGAATTAATTAGAATTTGTGACGTTCATGTTATAAAGAAATTCATCAGCTACACAGTCAAATACATTTCGAATTCAAATACACTTGCAAAGTGCCAAACGATTTCATTTTATTTAACTCTTAAAAAACAATCATTTTGAAATTATGTTTTGGGGAGACATATTGAATAATAACTGTAAGTATTTGCTAAATAAATAACATTTTTCTAACATTTTATTTATAATTTGGTCCAATCATTAAGACCAATTAGTTTATATATTTCATATACAATTATACATACATAAACTTTAATGTCCGAGCGAAACTAATTTTTCAGCCGAAACCAAAATCTTTACGGCCTATATAACTTTCGAAGTGAGCGCTATTGCATTCTCGTCCGTCATTGGTCGAGATTATTCTCACGATCAATGACATGGTGCACCGCGATCGAGATAATTTCGATCTATCGAATTGAAAATTACAAAATAGCCTTAGTTCTGTGTTTCGGCCGAAAGTGAATCCCAAATTTCAGTTTTACACTAATAGACTTATGCTTTTGTCTCTGGTAGGTAGAAACTATAGAGCACCACCTACTACAATACTTACATACTTGTTTAGCTTCCATCATATAACTATACACTTGGTAACGCCTGCCTTAGGAGAAATTAATATAATAATGTTGACCTAAAACACGTCAAGTTCTAGGCACTCTTGACAAATATCAGTTCATTATGTACCATTTACTAATTAATTACACAAGTTTATCATACACACGGCTATACAGAACCGGTACACGGCAGAACCAGTATAAACAGACCGTTTAAAATGAGGAAAAATCATACAAAGCCAGGCCACAATAAACTGGTCATATATAACTTGTGTAGTGTGTACCTTATATTTTTCAGTTCCCCAAAACACAAGTCCACTGTTTGTTAATGACATAGTACTCTCTCTCTCTCTTTACACTCCCTCTACTCCCATCGGCTCCGCTTCCCACTCTTACGCAATCTCTCTGCTTTGTCCTCTGACTTCTCCTCCGCCTGCGCCGCGGGGGCATTGACCCCGGGCTGGATACTAGGCCTCGTTTGTTCCCAGGAGTGGTCTGTTGATGCTGTGAACTGGGGAAGGAAACACAACATTGCATTAGGAATTATGTTTCCCAAAGGGATAGGCAGAGGTGTATGTACAAATAAAAAAAACTCAATTAAGGGTTGTCCCTTAATTGAGTTTTTTTTATTTGTACAATGCAAATGTTCAAAATGTTGGTTCAACCAAGTAACTGACTGGTCAAACCATAGACTTTAAACTTTATAGTCTAAGGTTTGAATACTGTTTAAAGTTTAAACAGTAGTCCAAGTCCCTTTCAACAATTTGTCTAGTAACTTTTTTCTCAAATACACAATAATATGAATAAAACCAAGTACCTGATTATACTGCGATCGGAATGCAGCTTTAAGTGAAGCGAGTCTGTCGGTGGCCGGACCGTGGGACTTGTCCAACGATACCGCGGGGGACTGGTCCTCGCGAGGAGGGGGGAGACCTGGCCGCTCTTTGTAACTGAGGGGGGAAAACATAAAATTATCAAAAATGAACTGTTTTTTCATGATCTTCATTAACTGTAACTTGAGAAATCCCATCGACGGCATACCCTAATCCACAGCCGCCGACGTTAAGGTTCTTCCCCTTGCCCTTCTTGAACCGCGACTTGCGGAACCACGCCGACTGCATCGCTAGCTGCATCAAATCTTCCGGTACTTCCTGTTGAAATAAAATATAAAACTAGGTAAATGGTCTGAAAGTATATTATTCATATACCTACTCCCTTCTGGATCAATGAATGGTACAACCAATTATTTGATCGATTTATTTGCATGACTGATTTCTTATAAGTTCCGAAAAAACGAAGATGAAAATATTTCTGATTAATAAGTATATTGTATAATAGAAAAATACGTTTTAATGAAATCATTAACAATGTGACATCCAATTTTGTTTTTCTAACAGGTTTTTTTTCATGTAGACGGGTGAAAAATGTGTCTAATTGGAAATCAGATCTCCAGAACCAACATCACCAAAATCCATCTGCAACAAACCTGCTGCACTCCCTCCAGGTTCCTGAGCAGATGTCCTGCGAAGTCCCTGTCCTTGTGCCTGTCGAGCAGCGTGTAGGCGTCCCCGCGCGCCCCGGCGCGGCCCGTGCGGCCCACGCGGTGGGTGTGAGTGTCGATGTCGCGCGCCACCGTGTAGTTGATCACTGTCCTTATGTGGGGGATGTCGAGACCTCGGGCTGGGGAGACACAAAGAATGCTCATATAATTTTAGCAACGTTTAATCGTGTATTGCGGGAATGTCCGACTGGTTACGAACTCAACCAGAGCCCTTAATATTATTTTTGTGAAAGTCCTTCAACGTTTACTGCGCAGGTTAATTTAAAAATAAACTAGGTAGATAGGTGTAAATTAATAAACGTTTCTTTCAAACAATTACTAAAATGTTTCATATTGGAAATCAGTAATCATCAACGATTTATATCAAAAAGTAATATTTAGAATCGTCCATCGGTTTTGGCATGATTAGTCTCAAATCAAAACAGTATTATTTTACTAAGTAATCACAAACTGTCAAAATTCTTCAAAACCAACTGTATGTGAAAGAAAATAAGGTTGAAATTACCAGCGACGTCTGTAGCGACGAGTATGTTGTTCTCGTTCCGTTTGAATGCAGTGATGACCTTGTTCCTGTCAGCTTGCTCCATGTCTCCGTGCAGGAGTAGAGCGTCGTACTGCTGCACGCCCAGGTTCGCAGCCGTCTGCTCTGCTTCCAACTAAAATACCAAGATTCACATAAAGTACTACTACTTATTCTATGTCTATTACATTAAAAAGGTACTGTTAAAATAGGCGAAAAATTTGTTTTTGGCCCATTAGTAAAGTTTTTTTATCTTTATTTAATAAGAAGGGCGTAAAGTTGTTTCATGTTCCAAAAATAGATAACGTAAATGCGGTAAATGCTCCTTATTTACTACCTATGATGTAAGTAATAATATAAGTTTTAATTTACCTTCTTCGTAACGAATATTAGCACACTGCCCGCTGATAGGAATTCGACCAAATGATTCAGTAACCACGTCCATTTCTCCTCCGGTTTTTGGAATATTCTGAAAAAATGTAGAAAGATATAGTGACTGTCTTTGTAGCTCATTACTCATTCCGGGTAATGTTTTCCTTAAATAGTGGATATTAGAAAGTTAATATCCGAATTCTACGAATGAATCAACAAATATGGCCGATCAATAGGGTTTTGTCGTACGATGTTAGGTATATCTAATGAAACTCTTTTGGTAACCCAGTCTCATTGTTATGTGACGTCGTTTTCGCATCGCAGTAATGCGTTCAAGCCCCAAGAAGAATATAGAGTGATATAGTAGAGCAGTAAGTGAAGGTCCCAGACCGGACATGTTGCGCGACGAGCGCGCTGGCCTCCCCGGCGGCGCCGTGCTGCACGCGCACGGGGTCGTGCAGCGCGTCGCGCGCCAGCCGCTCCACGCGCCGCGGGAACGTCGCAGAGAACAACAGCGCCTGCCGGTCCGGACGCACGTGGCTGCAGATTGAGCGGACTTGCGGCTCTGGGGGATAAATAGATAGGAAATTACTTTATTAGGCGACTTGAAGCACAAAGGCAAAAAATAAAGAATTCAGTTTCTGAGGTATGTACTATGTAGTAAGTAATAAACATAATATGGAGTGACAATAAGTCCAGAGATTGCGCTAAATTGGGAAATTTCTGAAAATTGATTTGGCTATGCAAATATGTAACTCCACAAAGAAATTATGAAATTTAGGTGCAAATTTATGCAATTTTTTAACAAATATTTACCAAACACACATTTACACTATTGGACTACTCAGTGTTCATCCTTACTTTCAACTTACCGAATCCCATATCAAACATTCTGTCGGCCTCGTCGAGCACTAAGTACGTAACTCGTTGAAGATTGGTCGCCTTACACTTGATGAGATCTATCACACGACCGGGAGTACCCACTATGATTTCTGCCCCACCACCTGGAACAAAAAACATGTCATTAATATATAAATAGGCATAACAAAACCTTTTTGTTAATAAACTTTGCTTTATAATAGAATTTTCTATTTTTGTAGGTGTATTTACAAACACAATTTCATATACATCTCATACCCACATCTAGGACAAAACTACATAGATCACATATCACATAATAAATTATTCTGTGTGAGAATCCAAACCATTACTAACTAAGACTGAAAACGATTTAACCCGTATATCCCCAACGGTCAGCGGTGACCGCTCTCTACTTCCTACATTATAGACCTTATTTCCAATGTTTAGAGACTACATTTGTATGAACCAATTTAGGGGATAATTTTTAATTTCAACGGGTTAAGAGATTACTTTATACCTTCTAACGCCTTGCACTGCTCCCACTTGGAGCCGCCTCCGTAGCAACACACGCACCTAATGTTGTACACCTTGCCGAAACGTTTCGCCTCCATGTAGATCTAAACAACAAATTAGAACTTAATATCCCATCATTCATTATCATCAATATTTTTACATTGTTTACAGACAGTTTCAAAAACACAATTTAAGTACCTATGCATTTTAATTGTCATTCGTTTTTTTTTCGAGTAGGATTATCCTATTACTATAAGAACTTCTACTTTTTAAATATACAGATTAAATAATGAATTTACCTGTTGCGCCAATTCCCTAGTGGGTGCCAGAATGAGTCCGATGGGTCCATCTCCAGGTGCTAGTTCCTTCTGGTCCATGATGTGAACCAGCAGTGGCCACAGGAACGCGGCCGTCTTACCAGATCCCGTGCGAGCAATACCTGCAAAATGTAAGGAAAAATACTTAATATAAAAATATTTGATACATGGAATAGCATGAAGGTCGAGCAATTAATGAATTTTATTATGTAATTAATTAAATGATTAATGAATTTGTGTTTTGCTAAAATTTTCATTAGTATAACTTTTTCTGTTTAAAATGATGCTGTATATTGTGTAATAAACATAAAATGCTTCGCATACTTTTAATAATTTTAAAAAAGTAAGTGTAAAAAACTAAAAACGTCAATAGCGTAATTTGTTTCTAATCACAAAGGAAAACTTTCATATTATAAAACCCATTCATACCTATAAGATCCCGGCCAGACAGCGCGGCGGGTACACCTGCGGCCTGCACGGGAGTCGGCTGTGTGTACTCCGAGCGACGGATTGCCTTCATCAGCTGCTCATCGAAGCCCAAGTGACCGAAACTGCTGACTGGTTTCGGCGGGTCTGGGCCTGATATCTGAAAAGTAGGTAATCAAGGATTTAATTCAAAAACCCTAGTGATAATTACTTAGCTAGAAGACAACTACTGGCTGAAAGAGCTCCGTCATACCAAACTAAACCAATAGTATAAATAAAAAAAAATATATTAGTAGACAATTTATCACTCACTTTTACACCTAAATTCTTCTTCAACTCCTCAACTTGCTGTGGAGTCAACTTCTCAATATCCTCATGTGGAGTGTAGAAGTTTTTCTCAAAAGGCTCATACTCAATCTCTGAGTGGTCTATGGGTGGTAGTGGGTCTATGAATTTCTTCTTTGGTGGTGCGATAGGGTTGCCATCCTCGTCATACTCTATTTCCATATCAGAACCATCATCACCCTGATTCAAGGGGTTATCTTCCATGTATCTGTGAATATGTAGAAGTAACGTCAATTGTTGTTCAGATTGAAGCAAAAATGAACTCAATATATTATGTTCTCGATATTAGATAAATTTGGAAAATGAATCAAATTGACTCTAATTAGTTTCCCTTCACCATTAATCAGAGATATCATAGCTTACAATTTGAAATGTTCACAAATGAACTTTAAGGGAGGGATATTATTTAAAGCTAGCCTGAATGTGTCTACATCCACAACTCACTTGTAATAACTCTCTTCATCATCCATTTCATCTATATCTCCTCTAGTGCCTCTGCCACTGTCTCCCTTCCCACTGGCTGCATTCTCCTTGCTGGCCACCAGGTCCTTAGCCGCCTGCTGCTCCAATCCAGCCATGTAGGCATCCAGGGGATCTTCTTCATCTTCCTCCTGCGCCTATAACAGAATCAATACTTAGATTAAATAAAATCACTGATTCTAATAGACCTAATTAGATTTGATATTCCCAATTATGTTAAGTTTTAAGCCTAATTTTGATTTATACAAAATTACATTTTGTTCTATGAGTAACAAATTTGATAAGACATTTCGAAATTATACTTTAACAAACATTTGGGTGCTACATAATATGTTGTATTTGTACTTAGTATTCAAACATTAACCTTACTATTAGCAATATCATTTAGCACAGTATTTGGTGAGATGGTAGCTAAACTTCAACCTATCAAATATATAAAAAAAATACAGCATGTCTGAAGTTGAAAATCCTTAACATCACTTCACAATTTAAGTTTATTTCAATCTTATTTTTAGTGCATGTAGATGAAGAGATGAGATATTTTGTGGACTTTTAATGTTCTACTAGCTTCTGCCCGCATTCCAATGGAATAAAAAGTACTATATGTGATTCAAGACCGTATTCTATTCCTGTTCCAAATTGCAACCCAATCACTTCAATCATTTTAATGTGTAAGTAACATACACACAAACAAACAGAAACACTATGCTACATTGTAATGTTTCTTATAAATTGTAGGATCGCCCTGTACCTTAGAACTGGATCCAGCTTCATATGTAGGGCTTCCAGGAGCAGGGATGTAAGCCAGCGCTGGTGTTGGTGGCTCGTCATCCTCATCAAAATATCTGAATAGCAATTGAAATCAATAAATAATAAGATATAAAAGAAAACAGTTTTCATGTGTACTTCTGACCAATAATAGTTTCATAAATTATATACTATGAAGACTAAACACGAACAAAAATTGAGATAACAGACAAAAATATTCAAGTTTTCTCAAACTTACTCATCTTCAGTCTTTGATCGCTTCTTCCCCAGTGAGCCCCAGTTACCAGTAACCGCATTCTGAGTAATTGAGCTCATAGTAGAGTAACCTTGCTTCGACAAGCCGGTGGAAGGCGGCGGTACAGCATGCATCGGAGTCGTCGGCGGAGGCACCGCGTGAAGCGATACATTAGACGGATTACGTTTGGGCATCGTGAAACCAGCGAACCCGAAGCCTTTGCTTCCACTCCCGCCAGAATTGTAACTCATTTTGCTTATCTAAAGACTATTAATTATCAATAAAAACACCCCGCAGGGGATCTATTTTCATTACCACCTTAAGGTTATTTATTAATGTTTATTACTAGGTCTTTCACTAATGTTCCGCTACAAGATTACATTAGTTCATTTAAGTACTCATTATTTCTCATTTAAATGGATTATATTCGTTATTTTGTAATAAAAACAATAAGAATCTATCAGCCCAACGGGAAAACGAAAATGACAATTATAGCGTTTGTTGACAACTAATATGTAATGTTGCAAAGTATCAAAATATTGGCTAAGCGTAAAACCGATAACTATTTTTTACGCATGGAAGTTCATTTTCATGTAAGGTTTTTTATAAGACTTTTATTGTATTTTAGTTTCAAATTATCAGGTACAGAAATTGATAAAAGTACTTTATAAAATAATACTTTTAGTCGCAGTAATTGCATCATTATGCAATTAATGCAACACAAAACTACTAACTGGATCCCAACCCTAAAATCAGATTCAGATGACATTTTGAGTTTGACATCAGTCGTGCATGACGTGACAAAAAGAAAAAAAAGTACCAACACAAAACGAAAAGTGCGAGAAAAATTCAAAAATAATTTCTTCAAATCTTCAACAATGAATTTCAAACTGTGCGTTTTTCTATTTACACTGCTGACAGTAACAAATGTCGAAGCAGCACAAGGCTACGATTTCGGCGACTTTTTGGCAACAGTTTTAGGACTTGGAATTGCTGGTATTGGGATTCTTGCATGTTTAGGCAAATATGCGAGACAACAAGCCAGAAATGAGTTCATTTAAACTACTGGTGAGTCAATTTAAAGTAGAATAGTATCATAAAACACATGTGTAGTCAGTAGTCCTATAGAGTTAGTAGAGAAATCATCGAAACCGGTTTATGCGTCCTTGTGTAACGATATCAATTTAATTATTATCTTGCCCAATAACGCGCAGTACCTTTAACACGCGCGGAAAATGTGTCTAATAATATCTTTCTTTATTTTACAGATATGCAAGCACTGAAAATGGAAATATGTGATGAAATAACTTGTAACAAAACAAATAAAAACCAAACTGTTCAAATAAATTTCGTTAAATCATGATACGTTAATTTGTATGAATGGTTATGAATTGTAGAGGGAAGTGTATTTCTGATTATTACCATCATTATCATTATAAGGCTATCCAAATATGTAGCAATTGTAGAGTGTAAGTATATTTTTTGTATAAGAGGATCTATTTTCAAACAAAATATACATGGCTGCATAGACTAAGGAGTATTTTATCGAGTATCATTATAGTACATGGAAAACCTTTGAATATAATATCTTTGACTTGTTATGTAAATTACCTTTCATCAGCTTCATAGTTCATGGATGGTAATTACATACATGATGTTTTGTCTGAAAATAGACAAAGCCTTACCTTCAACATGTGATAATATAACTTCTATTATTAGAGACATCTCCAAGATTGGGTAGGCTGTATTTTATTCTTTATTTTTGTAAAATTTAATCTCGAATTCAGAATTTCAATTTTATTAAATATTTGTTTTTGATTTTCAATATGTAAGTCTTTTTATTTATATGATACCTTTAATTATCATACACAATTGCTGTCCTGCTCGTGCTAGGTACATAGGTACACAAAATATTATTGGAAGAGTTGCAGAAATAACTACATCAAGAAATGTTTTGTAAATAATTTATAATAAAAGAAATTTTCATCAGTTTGCACCCACTCAGAGAACACATTCATGCAATCTATTGACATATTGTTTGTCAACAATAAAATTTAATTCAATTTGGTATAACTTATTCACTATTTTTCTCTAATAGTTCAATTTCTTTGATAATGTCATTTTTCTTAGACATTTTTTCTTTTTGATCCTTATCAGGAGTTTTAAGGAGACCACTCTTGATCTTTTCCTCAAGAGTTTCAATCTCTCTGAGTTTCTTTCTTAAGTTCTTGAGACGTTTCACTGGGTCTGTGGCAGAGTTGGTGGGGGTTGAAGGGGAGGGGGTAGAGAAGTTGGGCTCAGTTATCTCACATTTGGCAAGTTTCTCTGCTGCTTCATCAGCACCTGAAAAATAAAAAATGGACATCATTAAAAAAATTTTACATTTAAGTTCTTTGGAAAATTATCAACATAATCCTTCAAAATATGGATTGTATCTTTTGCAGAATCAACTTGATCCTATAACTTTTTAAATCTAATTAACAATTCTATACAAGTTTCTTTTTTACATAACCACAGAGAAAGTGAAAGACTAATTCATGATCAGCATTCTAATTAGACTACACACTTTAATTTTTTTATTTTAATTATCAAGCTCAACAAGTTATTATATTATACCTGTTATATTATATGTATTTTCAACTTATCAGTAACAGCTAACAGTTAGTTGTGCCTTTTTTAGATAAGAACACACTTGAATATGTATCACTATTAGCTATCTTGTATAATAAATAAATCATTGGTTATGTTGCAATATAAAATTAGAAAAGCAATTTAACATAGCTGAGTATTATAATAATATTATACACACTCAAAAAGGTTTTATCAGAAAACCATAGAGAAAGTACACCAACCTGACTTCTTTTTCTTCTTCTTTTTGTCAACATTGATGAGCAAGCCTGGAATAGGCTGAATGACACCGGGGTTGTTCTTCTTCTTCTGTGCCTGGGCTGCTACCTCAGGGGGCAGCCCCACTGGAAGCCCTGTATTCTGACGAGCTTTGAACTGTTTGCCTTTGCTCTCATATAGGGGGACTTCCTCTTGAGGAACATATCCATCCTTGATTCTCCGAGGCTTTCGCCAGGTACCGTCAGGACGTTGCGTCGCTGGGATAAACTTACAGCCTGAAATTGCGAAACAACAAATTCAGCACTTACCATTAACTAAAGAGTCAAAACAGATGATGAATAAAAGTTTTGAATACAGTCTTTAATACCTTCCCTGAGGACCCAAGAGCGGCGGATGATATGGCGAAGCGTGTAGTTAATGATGCTAATAAGCAAAAACGACAGGAATGTTATAATTGACGCATCATAGAGTTTGATAATTTATCATTTGAAACATTTGCACAGCAAACTTTCACTGACTTAGCAGTTGTTCATCGACCGCACGAAAATAAGGAAAGTCAGACAAATATCATCACGCACTTTTGTTATATGCTGCAAAATTTCTAATAAAATAAACAAACGCTATGAACTTATTAGAAAAAAACAAAGAAAGCTTACCATCAGCATCATGCTCATACGCTGTTGTGGCCATTATAAATCATCGATTTATTAGGATGAATTATTATAAATTAAAAACAACCTGGAAGGTAGGCCTTGCGAAATTCTCGTTTCGCTATTTTCGTACACAACTATTTTGACAATTGACAAAAAGACGAATGATTTTTTTTCTTTGGTAGTGATGTAGAATTAGAATTCAGTTGTTGCAACCATCAGTTTTATTTAAAAACCGATATTAGTATGTTATGTAACCACTCTAGTTGGGTTGCCTGTGTTAAAAACTGCTGCTGCAATGGTCATAATATTTTATAGTAACAGTCATGTCACTAATCGTAAACGTAATGTAAGAAAGTCTGAGTGAAATAAAGTCGTCCGACTGTTGCTGTCATTGTCATTGTGACAAGGACGGGTGACAGCGTCAACGAAACTTGAAAAACGAATTCGAAATTAGTCGTGATTGTTTTGTTTAGATTTATAGTATTTAACTGTTTTAATTAATCACAATGCCTAAAAGAAGGAGATTATTTACACCATTGAAAAATAGATCAGCAAAATCACCACACAGTAACGATGCCAGAGGTGAATGAAGAGTTAAAAGTTCTAATTTGTTGATTTGATGTTAATGAGCCGTTGTTTATGCACTATTTTAATTAATTTATTTAATTTTACCGAAGCTTTAATAACAGTGTTTATCTAATGTTAAAATGCATTACACCAGCAGCGTGATACATCATTAATATTCATAAACTGTCACTCATACATTTTAGAACTGTGGCATTAAAATAAGAAATTACAATTGCTTATTACTTAAAAAGAAAGCTTCATAATGTTTTATGCTTATTATTAACTATTATTGTTGTAGAAGTGGCTACAGCTCGTGGGAGGCTGAAAGGAGCCTTGATGGATGTACTGGATCCATCAGCAGATAATAATTCTGATGCATCATCAGATTATGCTCCAGAGAAAAGAGACAGGTAAATGTTGTCCATGTGGTCATTTCTATGAAAATAATACTCAATTAAAATTATTATTAGATCTAAGTGATATACTAACTAGACAGGAAATTATAAATATCAATAGTTAAAATAAGATCAATGAGAACATAATTATGTACTAAACTGCTTAATTAACAAATGACTTTCCTTTCCGTTTTTACTTAAATCTAACTGAGATTTTAACTTTAATTTTTAACACAAGATCTTACCATAGGGTCCAGTTTTAGCAAGAACTTTGCCTTTTATTACATAAGATTGGTTTAACTGCATATTCCCTATGAAATAAAAGGTTACCCAAATTACCATTTAAGAAAATTATTATAATTTTCAGCCGAGACTACAGATCAGATGATGAAGACAGGTACAGAAGAAAGAGGTCTCCAAACCGACAGTCTTATGTCCTAAAGCTGTTTGACCGAAGTGTAGACCTGTCACAGTTCAGTGAGGAATCTCCCTTGTACCCTATTTGCAGAGCCTGGATTGTCAACCAGCCAAGAGCTAATTATAGTGAACTTGGGTAAGTTTGAAATATTAGAACACTTTTTCTTTTAATTACTTGGGGTACTGAACTTTTTGACTATACATTGATTTGTATGTTGAATAACACATGCAAATTCTAGAATTCAAAGTAAATATTCAGTCCCATACCTGATAAAGTAGTTATATTATTGTTTTACACCTCACAATTAGTGTTTAGTTATATAAAAAATCCCATAAGAAGACAATACAAGAAACAATATTTTCTTAGCCTCAGTTCTCAGTTAACCATTTAATTATATTAACATAAAAACTGAGGGTTTAGGCAATCCAACAAATCAACATCGAAACATACCCATGGCAAGTACCAATGTGACTTTTGCCGAGTTATATGTACTTTCTAAGATTATTTAGACACCACTCATAAACAGTGAAAGAAAACACTGTAAGGAAAACCTGGGCTTATAATGTCTAATTATAAGTTTGAAATCACCAACCCGCATTGAGTAAGCTTAGCTTAGAAAAGAGGGTTTACTCAAAATTAGGCATTTATAGGCTGTTGATGACTTAAAAACTACTGAATATTGAAATGTTTTCTCAAACATATTCCTTTGACATCTAAAATGATTACTATTTTTTCCAGGAAAAGGGAAGAATCCCAATCATCATCGTCTGAAAACTTGGAGCTGCCAGGACCGGAAGGGCCACATGTGTCTAAAATACCCCCCTTGTTACCCGAGCAACTGAAGGCCGACAAAAATAATATCAACTTGAATTATGTAAGTTTACAACTCTTATTATGCTTTTACAAAGTTTGTTTGATTATGCAATTCATCTCATCAACAGAAAGCCTATAACTGCCCACTGCCAAGGAAAACCTCTTCTCACACGGAGAAGGTTTGAGCATTAATCACCATGCTTGCTCAATGCGAGTTGGTTAGTACCAATACCAAAACTAATAATGCAATTACCAACTGCCTTATTAGATTTGGTATTGTTATTGTGAGAGCCATTTATAGGATTGCCAGGAGTGTTTCTAGTGATAATTGCAACTAGTTCTGACATAGAACAAATTTTACCAAACTAATTAATTTACTTCCAGCGTGAAGCCCCACCACCGACGAAGGAACAGCTCCTAGCTTCTCACTCATCTCGTTGGGTGGCAGTGCGACAGGCCTGGCTGGAACAGGCTACTAAAGTAGAGGCACGCTATGAGAACACGCAGCAAGTCCTCAACAAGATGAATGTTAAGTATGTACTTGGATTTGTATTTATATTTTCCATAGCTTTATAGACCATAAGAATAAAATATAACAAGAACGCTTTACTTCCTATTCACTAAAAAAAAAATGTAACAAATCTATATATATAAAAGAAACTCGTGTTAGTTACACCATTTATAACTCAAGAACGGCAGAACAGATTTGGCTGAAAATTGGTAGGGAGGTAGCTTAGAGCCAGGAGACCGACATAGGATACCTACTTTTTAACGAAATTTTTTTTTTTTTACTTTTTTCCGAAAATCTCGAACGGGGACGGGAAAAAATGGGATTACGCATACGAAGTCGCGGGCAGAAGCTAGTATGTATTATTTGATAGTCTGGCCTAACTAAAATAAACTAAGACATTTTCCGACCGTAGGTTGTTTTGAAGCATTTTAAATGAAATTAAATATTTGTGATTGTAAATTCAGTGTACTAACAAAGAATTCTTTTGTTTTCAGTGCCATCTAAACATCGCTGTTAGCTAGAGCTGCCTGAATTTACTAAACATTTTGATTTATTTACAAATATTTGTATGCTGTGTATTCTGATTATTACCCGATCATGTTGATTTGACGAAAGTGTGAGAATGAAACAATTATTTGTGTTTTTATAGTGATTTATTGTAAATATAAGATTATAGTGATTATAATAATTATCAATCATGCACTTTTTCGTTTCTTCTTATTTTGTACCTGTAGCTGCGGGCAGTCTGACTGCTTGTGTCCTTTCTGTTTGCAGTTGAAGCACGACTGCAAATAGAGAAAAAATAATAATTAACCATTTAATTTGACATAAACAAGACATCACATCACATATAAAAAGACAACACTAGAAATTCATTAAAAAGTAGACAGAAGTGAATGATTTAAAATGAAACTAATAAATAGCAACAATAACCTACAATTTTATACCAGTAAGTAAAGTAACAATAGTATGTATGCACTTTGCATAAAGATTGTTTTTTTAATTTTACAAAACGTTAAACTAAATTTTATAACACAATTTCCATTCTTACCTGGCTTTCAACAACAACACCGCACACATGATTCCGTTCCTGGCAACACATCTCACACTCTTTGCAATGTAAGAAAGTGGGCTTCACACACCTCTTGCAGACATCACAATGTTTGTATGTCATTCCATTCTTACTTGTACATGAACCACACTTGTGACAGTGGTTATTTGAAGATGCGACATAGAATTTACATTTATTACACATCTTATAGTTACTGTCGTTAGATAGGTCAATGGTCCGTAGTGGCATGTTTGTAAAGAATCTGATTGGTGACACGAATTTCCTACCGTCCTTCATCTTGTTTATGAATTTCTTGTGGTTTGTGTATTCAATCTGAAATAGTTAAAATATGACATAAGTCATTTAATGGTTTTGAATAGGTAATTTATATGCAGGTTAAACTTGAAAAATTAAAATGGTATGTAAAAATAAGTTATAACAGTACCTGATAATCATGCATTTTGATCTCTGGTGCCATATTGGTGATGTATGGCTCAGAGAAGTAAGGGAAGGCCCATAAGACTGACAGTAGACCTTCATCGGGCTTGTCGCAGACATTCTTATAGGTTTCTGTCAGCTCCTTCAAAGTTTGGACTAAAGGTTCAACTCGTCCACCGAATGGAGGGTCCATTACTATACAGATGCCTCCCTCTCTGAAAGTTCAAATATATCATCAATAACATCCTCTCTTTTGGAGAAGAAAAGTGAAGTTATGTCATATTTTTAAAATACTTCATGCTTAATATTATAATAAAATTAATTAATTGCACTAAGAAAAATAAACATGATTTTATTGCGAATTTCACATAAAAACTTTTAAATCAGCCTCATTCATATATTTTATTCATTTATAAGCCATGGTTGTGTCACTGCAGGGAAGTCCTCCCTACTACTACTACCCCCTTTCACTCGTCTCTTCGTAAAGCTTACTGTCTGTGGCCAATCATTTTCATAGGCGTCATTGGCGTCAAACCCCTGCCCCCTCTCATTAGTATAATTTTGCAAAGTTGTTTAAAACTATAGATTATTTTTAACTCCATTGAAAGTAAAAACAAATAATTTTCTTACTTGGACTTCTTGAAGAATTTTTTAAGCACCTTCTCATCCTCATTGCCATTGAACATGTAGTTGTTGAACATGTTATACCAGATGAACTTGTTCGGTGGATAAAAATTGCAGTGTCTCTTGTCATAGTCCATTAGGATGGAGTTGAAGTCTGATCGGGATTCAGCTTCCTCGTGGATGGAGGGTGTTCCGATACAGAGGATGTTGCTAAAATACAAGATTACAGTTAAAATTAAAATGTTTATTTTTAAGGTTGTTAATAATTTGTCTCGTTTAGGTGGATGGCAGTTAAATAATAACTGTCTACTTGGAATCGAATTGAGTCAATTTTATTCAAGAGTAACCAAAATGTCTTCTTATTGTGTGAAATAAAATTGAAATTACTTTATAATACAAACAAAAGCCACTTTAAAATTGGGTGATTCATCATAATTATGATATTCAATCAACTAGAGTGTAATCTTACCTTATATTATTATTCTTAAGTATTCCAAAGACAGTGGTGACTGATTTCTTTGTGAACATGTATTGTGCTTCAACGGAATCATTCTCCAACATTGGCAACCAAGTAGTGGGTCGTGCAAGCTGCTCATCTGTTAGTGGAGTGATGATCCTGTGCTCCTTTGCATGTTTCTTGGAAGGTTTAGACACTAGGTAGAGATCTTCACAAGTACTACAGAATGCTCTGTCTACATAGTGACGGGCTTTCACCTAGAAAGATAAATGGTAGGTTGATATAAATATGCGATTACAAATTACACAATATTATTTAAATGTATTCTATTTAATTTACACTTTATCTTATACAATAAGTGAAAAGTATTGTCTACAAAAATATATAATAATTTCAATCATTACATTAATAACTGTTTATATACAAAACTAACCTCAACAAAGTTGCTCCATGCTGCAGCCTTATCAATCTTCGGAATTAAACTGTAGTACTTCTCATTACGTTTCCTCACACTTTCCTTCTTCCAATCTTCCTCATCTATGTGTACGGTGCATTCCTTATTCCTACACGAGGCACAAGCGAAATATCGGCCTTTTTCAGTAGAGAATAACAACGTCGGCCCGTGCAAACATAAAGGATGTGTAGTTACGTCTTCTATTACAACTTCTACAGGTAAAGATTTCTGGGTGTTAGAATCTTTTGTTTCTAGTTTACGTTTTCTAGGCATTTTTATGAGTTTTAACCACAAAAGTAACTAGGAAGTTCAATTCAATTTCTAAACACACGTGAAACTGACACGACACGACAGAAACAGCTCTCTGAGTTTCTGTAATGTCAATGTCACTAAAGTGAAATGTCAATTTTTATTAGTGCTGCCCAACGTAGTTTTTATTTACGGTTATTTTACGTATCTTCCTACTCGACTATGTACCAAAACCTTGCAAGACCTAAAAATATAATTTCGCTTACCAACCTCTTCTGGAATTTATTGAAACGGCAATTTTATGACACCGGCTTAGCGTTCCATTGTAACTTCTGACATCTTTTCGAATAATTTCAAGAAATAAAGTGACATTTACAAGGATTTCAGAAAAATGAACGGTTTAGGAAGGACCGCTACCCGGCTAATACAAAACTGCGTCAAAAACACAACGTTGACTGGTGCCTTAGTGAATCGCGCCCAAGCTCCTGTAAAACGTGATTTCACCAGGGGAATATGGCACATGAGCTGTTCCAAGAGACTGGATGGGTCTGCCGCCACTTCAACCCTTTTGCACAATCACTCCAACACATGCAGCTGCGGTTGTGGTCTGAAAGCGCTCCACACTAAAGGTAATTTGCAGTACTATTTCACTTGAATATTTTGAGGTTATGTGATTGCACCACACGCGAAGATCACGCCGAAACTTATTCTTTGGTGCATGTATTTCCATAAGTTCCTCTCATACCTTAACACACATTTGAACTGATCATTTAAATATATTACTGCATTATTCTCCAGAAACTGAAGTTGAACCATCGACTTCCCAAGTTAAACCTAGGCCCCTCGGTGAGTCCTTGTTTCCCGTTCCCTTCCTCACACCTCCACATTTAATTTTCCTAAGGTAAGCTTATTTCATAAAAATACCTATAATAATTCTTTACATATTATGGTATTCCTAATTTTGTAATGAATTAGTCCAATTAGTTTTATTTGTGTTCCCTGCACAATTGCCACACTGTGCCCTCCAATCAGGAGGAGTTCAGAGCCAGTTGCAGGGTACAATATAACCATGTTCACATCCAAGATCATAGACCTGTGTCATGGTCTTGCATAAAAACTTGGGACATTTTTTTATCATATTAAAGAATATAGTTGTAGTTTTTTATTAAATTATTATGTAGCTAGCAAATATCTTGAAATGTAGAGAATGTTTCCATATCTTTATTTAAAATTCTCTATAGTAGCGGGAGCATGGTCCAAGGTCCAGGGCTCCAGAGACAGAAACCTCCTCACGATACGTGCCGTTTCTAGGAGAACTGCCTTCTGTATCAGGCCCTTGATCCATCCTCCTAACACCAGCCTCCTAAGATGGATGTCGAGGCTTTTAGGAATTAACCCATTGGCCGACAGGACTAACGTCACAATGATAGCCAAATCCACACTCCACATGTCAACAACCTCGTGAGCTAAGTCTAGATATTTGTTTATCTTTCTCAGCTTTTACGGGGTTCTCGTCATGGGGGATGGTGACATTGATTATCACCGTGCGGCATACTTGTCGTTCTATCACCACTATATCAGGTTTATTGGCTACAATAGTCCTGTTATTGTTGTAGTATTTAATACTGATTTACAAGTAATTTTTATTATCATAGTGCTTTTGATATAGAAATTGTAGTGTAATTTTATAATCTAGCCCCTCAAAAGGTCAATGACTTCTAAACAAAGTTGATCTATTTTGATCCAACAAATTTTTTCTATTATTAAACCAAATACAAACTTAAAAGGTTACAACTTTGTTCCCATTGCTCTCTTATGTAAATGTTGCATCATTCTTGCTGAAAAGTTTATCTTGACTGATAAAACATTTGCTCAGTGCAGAAAAGCTGTGGGAAATAGTAAGAAATATATCATTTGTAAATGTAAATCTGTATTACGTGAATTTTAACTGTTGGAAAATGTAAATGTGTAATAAACACACTTAGAACAAGTATTTACAATAATTAGAGAAAAATCTAATATAGTTAATGAGCAGAAAAGTAAGAACATAAACTACCTGGATAGTATGATAAATCAGATTAGTTAATTACCCAAAGGTTTTTCAACATTATTCATTAATTTAAATAATAATTTCTAGGTGAAAGAGAGCTTGTTGAGTTCCTGACTGAGGAGATTGTGGCGGAGCGCAAGGCACAGAAAGTGAAGGTGCTACCGACAGAACTTGAAGGTTTCGTTGTCTGCGGAGATGGTGCTGAGGTTGTGCTGTCTAAGAAGCTTAAGGATGAACTGTAAGTATAAAACCAACAGGATTATAAATAAGCACCTTGTGAAAATATATTAAAAAACCTGAGTTGAGAAAACATTAAAATTTTTGTACTTCCTACAACTAACAGAAATATACTACAAAATACTTGTAATTATCCCCTCACAATTGCCACACTCGACGTTGCCAAGCAATGGCATGATCGGGTGCCAAGTGTGGGGTACAGTATGGCAGTTAAGTAGAATACCATTGCGCCACATGCCAATGTGTATGGAACAATACTGCTACATCTATTTTCAAAATAATTATGAACTCACCACAAATAAGTTAGTAATTTAAGACAATGTCTAAAAAAAGCAAAGGATATTTATTTATATTACCTCTTTTAATTTATTTTGATAACTTGATTAATTTTACTAAGATATAAACCAGACCTTAAATATCTACTACAGAGTATGATTGAAATAATGATCAAAGTAATTTAATTGTTGTTTTTATATTTCTCCAGGGTCAGAATCACTTTCAATGTGAACCACACAGTGGACTCTGATGACCTGGAAGGCGAGGTGCAGCCAGAGAAGCAGGAGTTTGCAGAGATGAGGTCAAGGCCTCAGTTCGAGGTAGACCTGGTCCGCGGAGACACCACACTTGGGTTCACCTGCTCATACCTGCAGGAGCCACCACCAGCCGCTGGCGCTGATGAGTACAGTAAGTAATTTTATAAACTTGCTTTATACTTATTTACTTGAATTTTATCTGTTTCTTTCAACAATGGTTTGACTAAAGTGGTAATATAGAATTAATAAAGTTGATTATTGAAATAACTTAAAATTCACCAGTCAACTTGGTTTGATTAGGTTTATTATAATTGTATTGTTAGTTTCCTTAATAATCCTATCATAAACCGTTGTATAAATAATAAAGCTGATGAGGAAATTAATGAACGCAAAGTAGCCTATAAACATTTATCTGCACTCCCCTCACAATTGCCACGCTCGACGTCGCCAAGCAGTGGCATGATTGGGTGCCAAGTGTGGGGTACAGTATGGCAGTTAAGTAGAATACCATTGCGCCACATGCCAATGTGTATGGAACAATACTGCAACACAACCATTATAACTAAGTTATGAAAAAAAAATGTTAATCAATCTGTGTAAACACAAATAAAACGAAATGTATGAATCCGGTTGGTTACACCATTTTATTTTGTAAATTTAGAATGATGCTCAGATTTTCAAACATTATTGAATTTTAGTGAACAGGCTTTTCAAAATTATTATTGTATTATATCTTCATCTGAATGTTGTAACCTATGGACTAAAGAACTCTCCCTTTGCAGATGACGTGTTTGGCATCGACGAGGTGACCATCTACAAAGGAGAATGGAATGACAAAGTGTACGCCGTCGCGGGAGACGTCCTTGACGGAGTAAGTTGATTACGCGATATTAGTTATTCTGCTCCACTGTTTCATCAGCTTTATTCTAGAATTGTATATTTATGATAGAATCTTATAAAATGGTTACAAAAATATTTTTTAACCTACTTATTAGTTTATCAGTTAATCCATTTCATAAATATGCTCGAACAAGACAGTATAAAGTAAAGTTTTGCTAAGCTCCTACTGACTTTAAAATTGACCTTGTTTTCTAAAGTTCCTATAGCACAATAGTTGAACACGTGTACTTGCGAACCAGTGGTCTCGGGTTCGATTCCGAGTCGCCCCATTTCTATGCCACACTTGATACTATCACACAAGTAGTTGTCAGGTGCCAAAATCGGGGTAAATTGACGCATCGAAGTGAAGTCGATCTCGTTACGTGTTGACGGGATATTCATTGACGTGCTACATTTGTTTTTAATACAAAATTATTGAAATAATTAAAATACGGCATTTTTTTTTTTTTTTTTTTAATCTGTTTTTTATTTAAGGGGTTTTTATCTTTGATATGCCAACCCCATCATACCTTTTAACAAAATGTGACCTATCAAATACATACAAAATAAAAAAAAAAAAAACAAAATACAAAAAAAAACAATAAAAAGAAAGGAAATTGAGTTACTTATCAAGTACCTATTGTGATTAAATTACAAAATTTTTTTGTGGTTTCTGAACATGGTGAAGACAGAATTGACTGTATTAAGCCTACATCCAGTTTATTAAATTTTAGTTCTCTAATGAGTAACTCACGTTCCCGCTCATTCCGAACACAATCCATCAGCAAATGTTGCATATCCTCAACTTTATTGCAAACTGTGCAATTTGGAGAATTGTTCTTCTTCATAAGGAATGCAAACTTAGCCGATGGGTAGTGTCCGGAACGAAGTCTCAAGACTAATTTAACATAGTATTTATTAAAAACAGTATTATCAAACCAGGGCACTCGAGAAGGTTGATCTTGGATACTTTTATACCAAATGCCTTTATTTTGTGAAATATTGTTGAAATGTAGTTTCCAAGAATCAAAACATACTGTTCTAAATTGTGTTATGTATTCCCAGTAATCGGGTACATAGTCAATTATATTACCATCGACTGCAGCCGATTTAGATATACGATCAACCTCTTCATTACCACGTAAGCCAATATGTGCAGGAACCCATTGCAATTTAAATTCCCTGCCATTTTCAATGAGAGAATTTAGATTTCTCAAAATGTCATAAGCTATCGATGCCCCTCTGCTGTAACCAGAGGCACATCGAGCTATATGTAGCAGTGAGCTTTTACTGTCTGTAAATATCACTACCCTATTTAGATTTTGGTTTAATGTATATTCTATTGCTTGATGAATTCCAATAAGTTCCAGCGACATGATAGATACATTACAATTTATTTTGAAACCTAATTTTCTACCCAAATTCTGATCGAACAGACCAGCTCCTAAACCCTGACTACTTTTCGATCCATCAGTAAAAATTTTGTGCCATCCACTGTAATTACTATTTAATTCCATTAATAAATTGTTCAACAAAACGATAGGATTATAGTTTGATTTAGCACCGCGCAGACATTCAAGGTCAGTTTTTATACTTGTTTTAATCCCTATACAAGTTGTCCATGTATCTAAACAAAACATTCTTAGAATAGGTGATGTTATAATTTCTAAATGTTGTGTATCGTTATATGATTTTACTAATAGGGGTTTCTTTTTGTTTTCCCAGTAGGAGGTTAAACACAGTGTACTCAATTCCGATATTAGATCTACAGTGATATTATTTGACCATGATTTTACTTTAAGACAATATTTATATGCCAAAAATTCCCTTCTTAAATATAATGGAGGGATACACAAATCAGATTCCATTACGTGGATCGGCGTGGTCCTAATATAACCACCTATGATACGCAAAGCTTGGTTTTGTAATTTATCGAGCTTGGAGATGTGACATTTTGCACTACAATCATAAATAAATGAACCATAATCTAATCGGCTACGAATTAATGACAAATACAATTTACGGATATGTTTTGTATGAACTCCCCATGAACTCCCTGTTAATATTTTTAATATATTCAAATATCTTAAACACTTACTTGTTATTTCATTTATGTGTTTTCCCCACCGTAAACTTTGATCCAACCACACACCAAATATTTTGTGCATTCCGAAGAATTGAGTAACTGTTCATTTATTGTAAGATGTGGTAGTATTCTACGTCTACCCCTACTAAAAATACAATATGTAGACTTACTTGGGGACAGCTCAAGACCAAGATCAGCCAACCTTCCGACTATATAATCCAATGCATTTTGTATACAAGCTTCACATTTCTTAAGATCCTTATTCTTTGTATAAATAACAAAATCGTCCGCGTATTGTGATATCACTACATTAAGCGGTAGATGGAAAATTGTATGAGTAATTAAATTAAAAAGTAAAGGAGATAACGGATCTCCCTGGGCTAAGCCCTTGTTAGTCCATCTGATCCCTATAGTATCAATATTATCTGATTTTATTTTTAAATATCTTTTATTCAAAAAAGCAAAAATGTAAGAACAAATCTGAGATCCAAATTGTAGTTTATCTAGAATATTAACTGCTAAATCAATTGATACATTGTTGTACGCGTTCTGAATGTCTAAGAAACATGCTAGTGTAGGGATATTTTTTGAGAAACCAATCTGTATGTAGTTAATTAAGCGAACAAGCGAATCTAAACAAGACAAAGACTTTCTGAAGCCAACAGTGTAGGGTGACAATATTTTCTTATTTTCTGTAAACCATTCCATACGTTTTACCAGCATTAAATGAAATGTTTTGCATAAGCACGATATTAAAGATATGGGTCTTAGTTTAATATCTTCTGAAGTGTTATTAGCTTTAGGAATTGGTATTATTTGAATATTTCGCCACTGAGTAGGTACAATACTTGATTTAAAGATGTTATTGTATAAGCTAAGTAAATAAGTTTTAGTTATGTTAGGAATATTTTGAATCATAGAATATGAAATCTCGTCCTCGCCTGGTGCGGTATCTTTTTTCTTCATACAGTTTTCCAATTCTTCCATATTAAAGTCACGTTCTAGTATATCATTTTTGGACAAAAAATCTGGTATTTTATTTGAAACATAGTCAGGTGACAAGGAACGAAGTAATTCTTTTTGTTTTTCTATCGGGGGATGATTAACTGATTGTTTATATCCCTTTATCCATCGCATATGTCGCCACATATTAGAAGTCGACATTGTTTGGTCAATGGAATCACAAAATGCTTGCCACCCTAACGATTTCGCTTTTTGTATCATTTTATGAGATTCTGCAATTTTATTTTCTAATCTAGTTAAATTATCAGGTGTAGGATTGCGTCGAAATTTTGATAAAGCTAGTCTGCGTTGTGCTACAATGTGGGAAAGTTCTGGCGTCCAATAGTTTTTTGGTTTAAATGTTTGGGCAGGTTTGGAACAACTTTTAACAAATGGAATGTACCTATTAGCAGCCATATTTATGCTATCCACGAAAAAGTTATACATATCTTGTACATTATTGAATTCCGCATACACTATTTCCGATAAAAACTCTCGATATTTAGTCCAATTAGCCTTTTTATAATTTCTTTTTTTAAACACAGTGAAATTATTAGGGATATTTATTGACATTCTAATCATAAGATGATCGCTACCTAAATTTTCATTGATTACTGTCCAGTTAATTTTTATAGCAATGTCAGAGGAGGCAAAAGATATATCTGGAGACGTTTTCTGCAAATATCCATTAACTAATTTAATTCTTGTATGATTAGAATCATTGAGATAAATAAAATTACTTTCAAGAGAGGAGTCCATTAAATGAGTTCCTCTTGTATCAGTTCTAGTTGACCAATTGACGTGGTGCCATTGAAATCTCCAGCAATTAATGACTTTTCCGAAAATAATGAAAATACCTGTTCCCAGTCTGACGGCTGCGTAGACACAGAAGATGGACAGTATAAAGAAACAATATTTTCTAAATCTTCACAGTTCACTAATTTAACACTTACTACTTCTATACCAGTATTCAAAAGTTGACATGAATTAAAATGTGATCGTATGGATTATGCACAAAAATCGCAACCCCGCCATAGGAATCTATTCTGTCTTTTCGATAAATATTATACCCACTTACATGAATATTAGATTCACTATCTAACCATGTTTCACTCACGATTGCAATATGTATATTTAGTTTTTGTAATATATCTGTAAACGAACTTAGCTTAGGTTGTAAGCTTTGTGCATTCCATTGAATTATATTGACCTTGACATATTTATTTGAATTATCCATTAAAAAGTTAATAATTTTATCAAGGGCGTTTCCTTTCATAAAACAACCTATTATAATCTTCTTGAATTCTTCATATACAATTTTAAACAGTGATAATATTTTATCTTCAAATGATTTATCTGACACAAATATTCTATTCAGCTTAATTAAAAATTTCTTAAAATCAAATTTGTTTAGTAAGTGTTCATCTCTTTGATAGTTTTGTTCTTCATTTTGTGAGTCATAACTATCGATATCTTCTTCCATTAATGTCTCATTCCTATACCGCTTTTTTCTTGTAGTGGTTTTTTTCGCCATGGTTGTTATTGTTATTATTTATAGATAGTATTTCCTGAGGTATCTCTTGCTGTTGAGTTGTTTTTTTTTTGCATTGGATTGTCTCTGCTTTTGTTCTGTATGATCTTACTATTAGGGCTTACTGCATAATTTTGCACTGATTTTTTTAATATACTACTAAATGTTGCCGGCGCGTCACTGTCTAAGTGTGTGTCCATTGAAGTTCGCAAGTTATTATGTAAACAATATTACGTTGTTGTTGTTGCTGTTCTATTAATATCTGAAGGCCTTTCTATATGTGACTTGTTCAGTGCTCATAATTTTCTTATATTCTTTTCTTTTACAAAAAACGGACAGTTTTTTATCCAATACGAAGTGGTTTCCCTTACAATTAAGGCATGATATTTTAGTTGTATCACAATTATCATGATTGCCCCCACATTTGGACACATCTTTTTTTTTGTTGGACAGTACTTTATTATGTGACCAAATTTCCAACAACCAGAGCATTGTGTAACAGGAATACATACGGTTCAACCTTAAGTCGGCAATCATAGGCATATATATAATTCGGTAGATGATTGCTTTAAAACAGATTCTCACGGATTCACTTTCAATCCATTTACCTTCCGAGTCTATACGTCGCAATCTCTTTACGGATATTATCTCAGTATCACTTTCAAATATATTCCTTAGCTCATTTTCAAGTAATTCCAGATCTACTCCTTTAACCACACCATAGGATAGGGACAACTCATCTATTAATTGACATCGACATCCCATATCTTTAAATTTTCACATTCCAATAACTTAAGTGCATCCTTTTTTTCTTTAAATTGAATAATAACCTTATTAAAACTTTATATTTATTCTAGTTACATTTGTTATGTTTTCTGATCTTAATAATTTAGCTAATGCCATCTGTTTGGGTATGTTTTCTAAAGATGTTACACATACTTCGGGTTGAGTGGTGTTATTTAAATCATTAAATTTTTCTACGTCTACCTCCTTGTCATTTTGTGTTTCAATTGATATGCTTCTAATTAATCGTTTAGGTCTCCTTCTATTTACAGTAATAAAGTCATCATCATCACTTATTTCACTCCCTCTCTCTTTTCTCTTCTCAGCTGCTTTTTTTACATTTTCTTTGATTACTTCTTGACATATTGACTTCTTGACTATTGTTGGTTCTAATGATTTATCCAAATCACTTTCACAAGTACGTATTATCTCCATATTATCACTACTTTCTTCTTCTTCATTCTCCATAATTAGGTAATATCAATAATATCAATAAACTTTATTTGTGTAGCACTAATCGCGAAACCGATTTATCAAGCATTTAATTCGAATATTTTATGAAGCATTTTTTCACTTTAATAATTTTGCTATTTTGACTATTTCTTGTCATAAATGTGTCGGAATGGAGTTTTTATCTATTATAATAACGTATTTTAACATTTGTTTTCTTGTTTTCAGTATCTTTACGACCTTTTGATGAACCTGCTAGAAGAGAAAGGCGTCAGCAACGAGTTTGTGAACAAACTATCTGACTTCAGCACGGCGTATGAACACAGCGCATACATAAAGCTCCTTGAATCTGTATCCCAGTTTACCATCGGAAAGTAATACTAATAACACACCACTTTCTGAAATAAGAACCATAGGATCATAAATATGAACAGCTACGAAATTCAGCCATATTGTTTCGAAATATCCAAGCAGTTTGGATGTTATGTTGTTCCTGTAACTCTGTGTATGTTGAACATACAGTATTCTTTTTGTTATTACATATAAACTTTTGAGTCTATTTAATCGATCAATTTTACCCTTAACTCTTCTGAGGTGGTATCCAAAATGTGTACTACTGTACAGATTTCAACCGAATTTTACATCATAGAAGATCTAATTTAGAGTAAACTTGAATTCATTGTAGTTGCTAGCAATTGTTCAGTCAAGTTGTTGAAATATTTTAACAAGCAACTCTCATATACTGAGGCTGCAAGGAGTGGAGCATTTATGCTGTAGACAGCTTTAAAATAATTTAGTTGTGTCATGGTGATGTTTTGTTTAATGTTAGTTATATGTTAGTTATTGTCTCAATAAAATTGTTCCAATTAATTTGTGTATGTTTTCATTACCCTTACTCGACATTTTCTTTATATTAGATACTAAACTTAAACACCAATAAATATGAAAGTTACAAACCTAACTCACTTCTCGTGAGTTATTGTGTGGGGTGAGCCTTTAGTATGAGCTACGTCTGAAAATGTTCGAAGAGCGAGAAACCAGCCATGCCATTACTAAAGAACTACAATGTATTCAGAGTTGATACCGTAATTTTAACTCTGAAGATGATAAACCCTAAGAGACCACTTCAGGCGACACCTGAAGAAAAAAAACACTGCAGCGAAGTGGATAATTAAAGACCTACACTACATAACAGCGGTAGTACGCAAACTGTTAAATGCTGCTAATGCTGCTAATACTCTAGCGTAAACGCATAATTTACTTACCATGCAACTTACCGTGCGACTGCCAGGCAAGGGGTCTCGGGTTCGATTCCCGGGTCGAGCAAAGTATTACTCTTTTTCTCTTCTCTTTTTTCTCTTTAAAAAAACGTTGCCCCACATTAAGATTTTGTCCTGTGTCGTGGGTGCGTTTACAAACATACAAGTTCACGTACACAATGACACCCAGACCCGGAACAACAATTTGTGGATCACACAAAGTGTTGTTCCGTGCGGGAATCGAACCCGCGACACGTTGCGCGACAGTCGGTTGCCCAGCCACTGCACCAACCGTGCAGTCCTTTATTCCATTACTGGGTTTTAAAAAACTCTCAGTAGTAGCACGGAATCTGGAATTGTGCCCGGTATATGGAAATAGGCTCACCCCCTATTACATGGGACTCATAACAAAAATAGTGAAAAGTGGGTGTTACATTGTACAGTGGCATAATGTGCACCTCTGCCTAACCCTTCGGGGATAAAAGGCGTAATTTTTGTATGTAAAAATAACTATTTACACAGAGCATCGAAAAATTCCTCCGCTTCGACGTCAATAGGGAAAGTACCCAAAAGGCTGGCAGCATTGCCACGTTGTATGGCTATGCTTAAACTCTGACGGCGAAAAAAACCAGCCCTCTGGTCACGAGATGCATTGACCAGGCGTTTCGAAATGTTTTTAAATAACCGTTAATTATCTTAATTTTAAGCGATATGTATTGACTGTTCACTCTTTTAAATTCAAATGATTAAAATCCAATATGTAAAAATTATAAATGTGCTACTGTGACAATTTAAATCATTCATTTTTCCCGCGTATCTTAAGTCAGCTGACATTTCGCAAAATGGCATTTGGTATTCCAAGTCAGCTGTTTATTCGCTCAGCTGCAGGAATATAATTTTCTGTCTCCTTCTTACATTTTCATTCCACCATTGAGCAATCCTCTGATAGAAAGAGATAGTTATAGTTATTTGAGTTAGACTTTTCAACATTCGATTAACCAATCGGAGCTAGTCTTATTTTGAGCTTATTGATAAGCTTTTTTGTGACCAATAGAAACACAGGAAAACTGCGTGAAGTTCGTGCAAATCTTGGCCTGTCTGACATCGGCTAGTAAATTGAATCGAGTTTTCTTTTACCCAAGCAAAATGGCTGACGCGTCTTCGTCGGCGATGCGCGCAAAGAAAATACCCGATAATTTGTACGACCTGTGCCTGACGAATTTAGTGAACTACTTGCAGAAATCTAAGTGCGACAGAAATGTGCTCCAAGGGATCCCGGACACCGTCCGCATGGACGTCTACTACAAGGTAAGTTATGCCACACTTGGCTCATTTGCTCTTATCGATAAAAAATACAGACTATAGCGAGGATACCGTTATTATTGTTAGATATTGTTTGTTAGCGATAATATCGCCATCAGCGCTGGGATAGTGCAGATTGTTTAGTATTGTATGGGTTTCTGTAGTGACCGTGAACGAAGGCAGTGCGTGTGGTTGAAGTTAACTAGTCACTTTCACTGGTGCGCCGCTGCACTGCACCGTCATACGATCCGCTCTTTGTTACGAAACACATAGTGTGCATCAGCAACGTGCGTCGATATCAATTTGCCCACTATTGTGTTTCATACGGTCCATAAAAGTCCCAATTTGTTGCTTTGTGTGGCAATAAAATGTTCGATCACAGCGTTCTAAATAGCCACTTCCTTGCACATGATGTCTATTCAATACTACATACTGTAGCTGCAGACGTTTCAATGATGATAAACCTTATTGTGGCGGGTATCAAATAGTATCAATGTTTAGTTTGACCCCCAGTAGGCAGAGATAATATCGTCTTGTCTGTGAACAATAATATTTAGAGCAGTACCTCACTGTATCTGTGCTCCAACAATAAATAAAATTGGCACAGAACTCATAGTTTATCTGTAAAATGAGTGCCAGCACCATTTAGATTCATAGATTTACATAACATCCATTCTTATTGCCTTGCTTGTCTGATAGCTGTCTCACTCACAAGTTTTGTATTCAACAAATGTAAATAGCGTGAATATTGTATTAAGAAGTCAGTATTTGCTCAAAACACCCATTATCCACAGTAAATTATTTTGCTATTCCTTTAATATCATTGCAAAAAGTCAAGTAAGAAAAATAATAACATATTAAAAAAGTGTTTTATTACAAATCATTACTGAGAAATGTTTGTGTTTGCCAATTTATGAAAAACAAATAGATAACATGATGATAATAATGTTTGAGTAATATAAATTACATGATGCCTATAAGTATTTTAAAGTTCATTAGATTTAGTTTTGTAGCTAAAAACTTCATTAATTCAATTCAATTATGGTTGTCATTTTTCTGATGCATTGGGTAACAAACTCTCTCCTAAAGAAAGTCTCTGTATATTTTCATGTATCTGGAATACTACCTAGTCTGCAAATGATAACTAACACACAAAACAAGTTATTCAACCTCAATATTGTTTTGTAAAGTAGAAGATACTTATTCAAAATACTGAATACGCTAATGTTTTTATTGCAGCTACAAAAATCGTTATAAACTTGTTACTAGAGAGATTCTTTTTGTGTTATCATTTGCCAGAATGTAAAGGTTTTTATCAATATTTTACCTTATAAATGTCATGCAAATGTTTCCGCAGGCAAAAATAAAATGTTATGAGGCTTTTTCTGTTCATAATGATAAATTCTCCTGGCAGTTGACTAATAATGTAATAATGGCACTTGTTCAAGACTTTCAATTCATATATTCCAGTTTTCTTTTTTAGTCAAATATATTGACTATAAGTTCTTTGTGTTTTTAAAATGCAATTCTTTATCATTGGGTATTATTTACAATTAAAACAGTAGGGTAATCTAATCTTAACTAATTGCTTATCTAACTAGGTAGTTAACCTGCCTATCTTTTGTTTTGTTGATAAATTTATATCTAAGGTATCACAAAATAATTTTAATATGTATTTTAATGGTTTTGCTGATCCATTTTTTGAGTAAGAAATTTTAGTTTTAATGACAAATTTTTACTGTGATTATGATAACAGACATCTTGCTATCTTCAACAACAATGCATACACACACTCAGTATTGTACAAATTCAAACAACTATGATTGTAGTAAGTCAATCAATCAACAAATTATACATTACATTTGTTGTATACACATTTACATATGTATTGGTAAATAAAACTTGTTTGTGCATACTTTTAGTGTATGCACAATACACACATCATTAGGATTTGACAATAACTGATTTGCAAAGCCACATGCTACTACCAATGGATTAAGCTACCCTTATTTTTAATTTTCAACTCTATCACAAAGAAAAAAACGTTGAAATCCTATTAAAAACATCTGCCTGTCCTTTTCTAATTGATTTGGACAAATAAAATGCCTGAAAAGGTCAGTGTACCTTTCTTTCCATCTTGTGTACTTAACTAGTACTTATTGCTCTGTTTACCCTGTCTCGAAAAGAGGCGTGTTTTGTCACTCAAACAATAAGAATAGTAGTGGAAAAATTTATGAGTTTTGGACAAACCCAACCTTTGTTTCATCTTATAACAGGTGCTATTGGCCTCGGCTGTCTAAGGAGTAGGTAAGGACCGAGGTTATTGTCGCTTGAGACGTCTGCGATACGCCCCGATTTGTGTGACACGCCTTAAAAAAAAGTGGTATTTAGGTAGGTAGGTACTTATGTTTCAAACACAATTTATATTTAATTTTGTCTCTTCTCAATTTTAATGATGTTAAAATGTGGTTTTGTTCGCTTGTATCTCCGTCTCTTTTCGCGGTTTTACGCCTGACGACTACTCCAAACTCCAAATAATGTCCAAAAATAAACAAACTTGGAGATTTACTATATCAAAGAATAAGTAGGTTTATTTGTTTTGATAGCGCTAATTCTGTAAAGCAAATTCATGATTAATACTTTGTAATTATCTTTTTGATTTATTATTCTTGTGTTGTCTTTATCTTCGAAATTAATCTTGTTACGTAAATAAATGTTTTGCTCTTCCAATGCCGAGGCTGACTGGCTGATTGTAATTTCCTGGCTTCGTTTATCTTGGGATTTTTTATATACGGACTCATTTTTTATACCGGACGATAGAATAACCACCACACTAAAATGACAGGGTATGAGATAATTTCAGAAACTCAAAGGAAATGCAGAAAACCTCATTTTTTATTACATCACCAATGTATCGTTATCGTGGCAAATCGCACGTAGTCAGACGACAGTGCAGCGAACCTTCAGCTGCCCTCCTCGTCCTACCAGGTTACCACGGTGTGTCATACTGGTTATAAATTAAAATGTATGATTTTCATCACTAAACTACCCTGCACAATGTACATTCCAGCCAGTCTTGGACTATAGAGTTATATAAATAGGGTCTGCTTTAATATCCGCACTTAGCGGGATGGATGGAAGATCGCCATTTAAAAGGTTCAGTTTAAATTACCACAGAGTGCTGTTGCCCTATTTCTATCAAAGATTGTCTGACATTTTAATGATGATTGAGTCTGTCAAAATGTTCACCACTGTTGTCCGAAAATATGTACCTAAATCTGTGAAACTATTTTCCTAGCATACACGTTTGCTATACCTACCTATATGATATATCCTTCAATTGTCACGTCAGCGGCTACATTGGCAGAACGAACAACAATGCACTGATGCAACGCTTGCAACACACATACACGCACATTCGATATCTGTTGATGATATGCAGTATGAACTCAATGAGTTCATTACGGGTCACGGTTCATGGTTGATTTTTGAACCTATTACTGGAATTGAATAGTTTCCTATTGTAGGTACTTATGCTATGGTAGGTACTTAACACGTAGCTGATCTCTTAACATCTGCTCTTTTGCCTATTAAAATATTTTTGCCATCTTTCTGATGGCATACGCTAACGCCACCTAAGGCAACATAATTTTAATTTTATAAATTGCAATACTAATTCCTGATTGCTATTATTTTCTGTAAGTACCTATTGTTTACACTATAAAATCTTACGCAATTCCTTTAGTTCAATCATCACTTATCGTACCTAAATAGACATTAAAATGTATGGTGGCCATCTACATTATTAATCTAAACAAATTAAACTGCAGGTAGGTAGGTCTTCTACAGTTTTAAGATTTTGATAAAAACATATTACGTAACGCGTTATTTTTCTCAGAAATGGGAAGTAGACTCGTTTCGCTACTTTTGAGTGGTAGTCTTATTTTTAGAGGACCTTCGTTGCTATGCATAGATTTGCATACATACATAACTAACATAACATAATGGGTTAAAGAATTTATAATTAGCAACAAGTCGGCTAAATTCTAAGAATTAAGTCTCGTGAATAGAGATTGTCATCAAAAACACCTTATTATAAATACTTCAAGTTAGCAAGTGCAGTGTATCCGTAGAATCCTTTACCAGTTTTCCTCTAAAGGTTTGCAATCGAGAAAGTCCTTTTGATCGACTTGCGAATACGCACACGGCGCGCACTCTCGAATTCGCGAAAGGTCGATTGTAATGCGACAAAGCAGTCGCATCGAAAGTGTGCGCCAATATGAATACTGATACGAATTCCGTAAAAAAGCAACCGTTCTCATTTTCCTCTGTAGAAAGTTATTTATTGCGGATAGTTATGATAATCCTTGCACTGACGCAACGGCCATTAGTGATGTGGAATCGTGATGTAAAATATTATGTGAGGCTGATATTCTAGCGAAAGTTATTATTTTACCAATCAATTTTTTCCCATATCTTGAGCATATTATGATGTAAGTTGATATTATGAGGTAAAATTACCGGTTTATACTGGGAATTTGCCGTGTTAAAAGATCTCCCTAAGTGACCTCCCTCTGCGTTGAATTTACGAGGCACTTACCAGTCCCTTTCATTTTGTTTCTTTTTTACGAACGGTGAACTTGCTTTTGCGGATGGCATTAAAATGTATAAAAGCAATTTCATTTGAAATTCAACTCGCATCCTGTTTTTTCACAAATTAAGAGGATTGAATGAGGATAAATAAGAATGAAGTTGGCGTCGGATAAATGTCATTGTATTTCCTGAAGTTATCGTTAAAAGGATTTCGGTCACGTGCTTCAATCTTTATCAGTAAACAACTGATTCACGTGTATAAAATTTGAATAATTTTACCTGGAAATAGACGAAAAAATATGTTTTCATTGTGAATCTGTTTCAAGGATAATTATTATTATAGGTAATCGGCGATTCGCACCTAAATGTTGGCGATTACCTGCTAAGAAATTTCCAATTTTTACAAAATACGA